AAGAAAGGTTGTATACAATTTCCCCGTAGAACTAACGGTTTAGGAGTTATTGAAGAAAAACGAAATTTTTTGTGAAAAGTTCGCCATTTCGACGCTGGGATGGTCGGATTTTGTCAACATCAATAAAATGCTAAATAATCATACGTAACTCATTAAATACTGGAGTTAGAAGAAAAATTCATAGAATCTTTCATGTAAAGGACGTTAGTGCCTAAAATTCCTATATAAAAGACTTTTCGCCAGTGTCAATAATTAATTGGACATTTTCTTCTATACTTTTTAGCACGTAGCTATTTATTATTAGCATTGTTCTTCCGACGTCTGATTTCTTTTTAATTATAGGAAATGCGTTTTTCTAAGGTACATAAATTTTTGGTATTGACTGTATGGCCAATACATCCTTAGACGTGATTTAGCATCCTTCAAAAAGAACTTGTCCTAGAATTGTACAGGTCCCATTAATTTGTCATTCGTTTTCCGGATCGGGGAACAAAGCCCACTCGGATATTTAAAATTCATTTTCTCGGATACCATTCGTTCCAGACAGGAATCTATTATTCAATTCGAACGGCAGAGCAATAGATTTTTAATTGGCACGTCACGTCGGATGTGATGAATATTTGACCTTATTATCCCTGACATGCCGTTATACAACACTTTATAAATAGGTTTATGCATTTATAGAAAATATATTGAAGGACGCAAGGAAAAAACATGATAAGTAAATCTCCAATGCTGAGAGGAATAGCAATATCGATTCCATTTTTTAAATTGCCTTATCTCAAAATCCGCGATTTATTTACGAGAATTCGCAGTTAGGAAGAAAATTGAATCGATTTGGCCAAAATGAGATTTTGGGAGTGTTTGTGATAAGACTATCCCAACTTTAGACATTGAAAAGTCTCGGTGGCGAAGTTCGGGCAATTTTATTGGCATAGATAAATAATGATCGCAGCGGTTTAACGGAAGAAGTTTTCTCTAAGATAAAATAGAAACGCCCGTGATATACGACATTATATGTATGTATATCGGCGGTAGTGTCTGCTGGCATAAATCAATTTGCAGCCTCGGGCGCTACTATGTATGCGCGGCCGATCAATTCTGAATGTGCATATTGCGCGTCACGCGGTGAATTTTTGC